ACTCTTTGTCTATGTTTGCATACATATGTATAGGGTGAGTTACAATAACTTCCATTGAGGCTTGGAGTAATTTTACAAAAACTTAGATACTTTTAAAATTTACTAAAAAGTATTTTTTTTTTCTTTCGGTTAACTATATATATATATATATATATATAAATATATAGACACACACACACATAGTTGTCATTAGGCCCATAACCTCTGGGGTTTATTCATAATTAACCAAATATTTTTATTCATTAATAAAATTAGAAAAAATTTTAGCGTTTTTTTTTTTTAATTATCTGCATATATAGTTATGTTTCTGAAGACCATTTCATCTGCACAGACTCATGATAAATGAAGGCGTAAGTCAGTCGATTTTGGTTAGCGGTGAAAGTGGAGCAGGTAAGACCGAAAGTACAAAATTGCTTATGAGATATCTTGCTTACATGGGAGGTCGATCGGCATCCGAGGGAAGATCGGTCGAGCAACAAGTTCTTGAGGTAATAATATATTTGTGGAGTTTGTAGTCTTAGTGTCAGTGTTATTGATTCTGGTGTTGGCATCTGAGGGAGTGTTCTCTAACACTTGAAAATATCAGTGCCATGCCTGAAGAAAAGGATAGTAAAATATTTTTATAGTATTCAGTCAAACTAGTGAAGAAAGTACTTATAGGTTAAGAATTTTCTAAAGAGATAGTAAAGAAGAATAAATAGTCTTTCAGAGTTTTCAAGTGCCAATTTCTACATCATTCTACATTATTTACTGAGAATCTGAAAGGTAAAAGGGTGATTTAGATTTCTTAATTTGCTTCTGGTTCAACTTTTGCATTGAAATAAATTTCCACAGCTTCTTCACCATACAATCCCTTTTGAGTTGTGCAACCCTGTAGCTTCAATTCACGAACACATTGAACTTTGGATCTCAATGATTTTCCACTTTTACTATTATAATCCATTGCATTTTGGAACAGACATTTTTTAATGCGTTCCCTTATGATAATACCTTATAATAGATTATCCGTCATAAACATTTTTTGTTCTTTGTTACAGTCGAATCCTGTTCTTGAGGCGTTTGGTAATGCAAAGACAGTGAGAAATAATAATTCAAGGTACTAAATATTCTATACAATTATTTGTTTATTTATTTAATTTTTTATATCTATGCAACTAACACTTTGAAAATTGTAGTCGATTCGGTAAGTTTGTCGAGATTCAGTTTGATCAAAATGGAAGAATTTCTGGGGCTGCCATTAGAACATACTTGCTCGAGAGGTCTCGTGTATGTCAAGTGTCTGATCCAGAGAGAAACTACCATTGTTTCTATATGCTTTGTGCTGCACCCCAAGAGGTAATTGGGTTATCTTATTTGAAAAGAAAAAAAGAAAGCAATTTTGCGTAGATGATAATTTTATAGTTCTCTTATTATTTGGTATTTGCATGGTTCTGTGCCAAAATATTACCTTGATGTTTGAGTCAGAATTGGTTTATCACAGTCGCTTAATGACAAACTGTCCTAATGGTTTAACTTAGTTATATGAAATTTTATTGTTGCTTTTAGTTTTTATCTGTTTAACAACTGCTCATCTGTGGAGGGTGCAATTAGTGAAAGAGATAAATTTTTAGGGATATTTTTAATTGGTAGCTCACTTGAGCATTTTTCTATTATTTTTTATTTTGTTTCATTTTTTTTTTTTTTT